GGGGCAATATTCTGTTATATATTATATTATCTGTTTATTTTTGGAGAGGCTGGCAATATTTTAATAATGATATTACAGATCTTTACAAAGATTTGATATATTTATTCTATAGGTATTTAAGTGTGTAGTACATATTACTTACTTAACAAATTTTTTTAATTTGTGTTCAACCACTTCATTTCTCAGCACTTCTCTATGGTTGACTGTAAGAGAATGCCTTAAGGCATTAAGTCCGCCATTCACTATTATGTTTTGTGAAGAATAAATAAATAATAATGATAATAAATAAATAATAAAGATAATTTGTTTGTTTGAATTGGCTCCGAAACTAGTGAAGAGATTTGTAAAATTCTTTCACTGTTGGACAGCTTACTTTTTAGGGTGTAATTTAGGCTACTTTTTATATCAATTTCCAATATCTGACTCTTGCAGATAAGTTCCAGCCAACCGGACTGTAAGCCATGGGGTAAGACCAATGTTTAGTAGCGAACAATAATAAATCAATGAGTTTAGAAATAAAACACGGAAAACTGCTTATTAAAAAGGTAAGTGCATACTTCTCCTGTTGAAAATTGTTAAAAATCATCCCCTAAAGTTTTTCATACAAAAGTAGTCTCTAAACATTGGAAATAAGGTCTATAATGTAGTTAGTGGAGAGCGGTCACCGGTAACCGCTTGGGGATATACGGGTCTGATAACTGATTCTTTAAAATTATTTTTTCAAATCTCGACATGCACGATTGAGGTTTATTATTAAAAAAAAAACTTATTTTAAATTTGGACTAAAGAAATATATTAAGTAAAAAGTAATCTTTAAAAAATAAACCAAGTATAAAGATATGGTCTTCGTCAGCCATTGAGAAAAGTCTGTCTAAGATAGTCTACACAAAATTCAGACTAAGTCGCTACCATTAGCTACCAAATGGGGTGACTAATTCCTGGAACTGCTCAAGCGCACTGTTATAGTAAGTATTAAAAAAAGAGATCCCAGTATGAAAGACAAAAGAAATGTTTTCTAAGTAATGAAACAATGGCTACGTAGAATATGATATGTTTAGCAGAGTTTATAGCTATTTATTCTCAAGAATAATTACCTAGAAAAACAATTGCAATCTGTACTTATAGGTGAAAACAAAATAACATTAATTTAGGAATTAAACGGCGTAGTTTATGGAAGCAAAGTTACGCCTTTTACCTAATCCCCAAAGATATAGGGATTAAAGCTCCGGCTCCGGCTTGTAGTGCAGGAGAAGGAACGGGGTGGTTTTTAGTCAGTAAGAGTCCGACACTCCCTCTCGCCTCACCCAGGCGGGAGAAATCATTCGATGATTATTCGCCCTTAAAAAAAAGCACAATTAAATGTTGAGACATTCACTTTTCACTATATTCCCATAGCTTTTCACTATATTCCCATAGTACCCACGAAGAACATAGGGGTAAACATTGCAATTGCATTATAATTTCAGACCCAAAAACATCTTTATTATAATACCTACTCTGTAACACCCCCAATCAACCAACCCATAAAATACGTACCAAAGAATTTCCCAATGAAAATTCCTAAATAAATATCCGACCTCATTTCTCAGTAACTCTCAACAGAAATCTTTCCATGCAAATAACATTCTTTCTCCCACTAATTGGCCTTCATTTCTCACCCTTAATTATCTTATAAACAGTCGGTGGCGGAAAAAAGAAAAATATTTGTCTCAACCTATAACGACTGACCTCATTAGAGGCGGAGATTCCCCAATTTCCCTTTTTAAAAAGAATATGTTAAAGAAGTTGTCAATAGATATTGTATAATGTCTTATATGACTGAAAAATGAATGTTAACTACCTATTTTAAATTAACGCGATAAGCGATGTCGCGCCTGACATCGCCGTGACCGCGCACGCTGCTCATGAGTAAGAACTCCTCTGTGGATCGAAACTAGTAGAGCTTTTCTCAGTATATTCACGTGAGTAACCCGCGATTTTTAGTTAATTTAATATGTCTCACGATAGTTATTATAAATACTATTTCAATCCAAAATATGTGGATTACGATCTATTTTTCACAGAAATCCCATACAAGTACCTAATCTACTTACATCTACATCGGTTTTGGTAATATTTACGGCATGCAGGCTCGTTGGAGATTGCATTTTGAGAGGTTCAAGGGGTTTAGTACGACTTTGTTTGCCGACGCGGTGGGCGCACTGATTGGCCAATTTCGATGAACCAACCAATCAGAGCCCTCATTTCCATTACTTAAAACGTAAAACAAAGGTTTAGCAGAGAGTACTGCTGTTGCCTATAGTTCCTTAGTTGGTTCTTACGACATCCCTAGGAAGAGTATCAAATGTATTCTAGTCTGCCATCACCACAATTCTTCTTACTTACTCCATAGCATATGTAAAAGTTAAATAATGTTCAATCAATCACAAAAAAAGGATTGGTCACAGCAACCGACAAGAAGAGGAGTGGAAGGAGAGTAGGGAGACCTTTGCCCTGTAGTGGGACGACAATGGCTAAATATAGAAAAAAAAATAAACAATAATCAACCACAAGATACAATTGGGTATTTCACTGGGTCAAAAATAAATTAGTTTGATTTTTCAATCCAATTCAAAAATATAATTAATTTCGAAAATCGATTTATTCTAGCATTTGTCCAGAAATAAGTGTGCTATTTGACCCGAAAATATGATGACGTCATAAGTTAGTTTTTGGTACAAAATTCATAGAACAATATCGTTTTTGACGTTTCGATAAAAGTACTGAATTTGATTAGTTCTAAAATACCGTATTCAGTTACAAACAAAACACAATCGGACAGTTCAATGAACAAATAAATTTCATTTAAAAAAGGAAACACGCCTCCAATTTGCATCTCAATTCCTCACATACTCCCCTCTCACACGATTAACAACGGGTTACTCATAATGGCTTGAATTCCGTACACGTTGTCCTTCGATGACGCGAGGATTCCTAGCCAACGAGTCTTCGCGTAATCCCAGCCGCCATTTTGAAACGTTTGAATAAAAAACGTTGCCTTATTCCAGTAATGGGAATATACTACCTACTGAACTTTGTTGCTGTCCTTTGTGGCTTTTGAACAGTCATTAAGTGGAGTGCTAAGGTTTTATATTACTGTTTTTTTTTTTGAAATGCTTATTTTAGTTATGTACCTATCGCACGATGTTTCTGAGTTCAAATTATGTAAGGAGATCAGTGCTCTGGCTTAGCCAGCTAGGCATTATTACATATATGATAAGCCTATTTCTTATCTGAAATATTATGTAATTTAAACTAGACTCCCTTATTTTCGCAAATGTTATTCCCCAAAAGGCCTCGAGCTTCTTAAAAGGGTTTTGCACATTAGGTACATACATTTAGACACCTCCATTACAAAAATACTAGAAACAGGAATAGATTCTGGAATATGAACAACAATAGGTACATGTATTATAACTTTCCTGAGACATACTAAATAAAGTATTATGTTTCCAGCTTACTCACATAATTATTTGACGAGGAACTCGACTAGTTTCAAGCCTCATAGAGGCTCATATTCATTAGCAGTATTTCGCGACCCGCGACGCGGCGACTGTCGCGCTGCTACTTCTCAGTAACTGGTCGAGTTCCTCGTCAAATAATTACGTGAGTAAGCTGGAAACATAATAATTTATGAACATACATGGCCAAAGTACTTATCTCAATAGGATCGCTTGGTATATCCATCTTACGACTGAAATTAATAATTCAAGTAACCCAGAATTATTTCTAATATTACCTTAGTTGTGGAACCAGGAATTGGTTCAACATTGGTTTTGAATTAACATTGACTAATTATTAATTCAGCCATTTAAAGTGCGACTGCCGGGTAAGGGGTCTCGGGTTCGATCCCCGGGTTGGGCAAAGTATTACTGGGGTTTTATAATAAAAATCTCAGTAGTAGCACGGAGTCTAAAATTGTGGCATAAAATTGTGCCGGTATATGGCAATAGGCTCACCCCCTATTACTTGGGACTCATAACATAAATAGTGAAAAGTGGGTGTTACATTGTATAGTGGCATTAAGTGCCATAATGTGCACCTCTGTCTACCCCTTCGGGGATAAAAGGCGTGATGTTGTGTTGTTCTTGTAGAGGAAAGCGCTTAAATACATTAAAACTTATATTCCTATAATCTATGGTCAAGAAAAATAATTCCAATCTAGGTATTTTCTAAGTCCTATACGGTCTGAAGCATTACCTAATTGTCCTTGCATTCCATTTTCTGGCTTACAAAGCATGTCGAAACAAGAAAAAACATTAACGTCCTCGACATTCTACTTTTAAAAGCAAAATTTATATCTAAACGGACCATGTCTATGCTAATTTTCACTCTGGTTTTCCCAACGGTTTTTTGCAAAAATGTCCCAAAGAAAGTTACAGTGCCGTTTCGTTTTGGTCCGAAAAATCAAGTAAATCGTTTGTTAAACCAAAACAATACAATGCTTCGAGAAAATCGATTGAGGACCCTACTCAGTCGGGAACACCGTTCGTAAGATATTGTACTGTCAATCGAACAAAAAAAAAGAAAAACAAAAGATCCGTTTGTATAATGCCGGATGATTTTTAAACATACCGAATGTACATATTTAATGAATGTTTTTGTAATATTTAATGTTTCAAAGTACCTATCAATAATAAGAATGTTTTACGTACCTTTTAAATTTTTCTACCTACGATTTATGAGGTTCAAATCAACATATTATGATAAACGATTTCCTTATAATATAATTAAAACACATTCTCAAACAAAACCCCTACCCTATATCAAAGAAAATCAAATTTTATAAAAAAAATCAGAACGATCAAAAAACAGATTGAGAACAAATGGCAGAATGTTTCACGCTTGACCGAATAGTAAGAAGCTTTACTATTTTATTGAATTAAGGAATTAACTGACACGCACTATTTGGAACGATATAAAACTGTGCAGCACCGACCACAAACCACAAGTGAGAAGCGACTGGATGTCGGACTACTCACTTCGTCATAAAACATTCAAATATATCAATAAATCCTTCATTTACTTTCAACCCATGAAACAATAGAAAATCTATTACATTATCCGCCATTTTGTTGAAAGAAACGCGCACAAGATGGCGACGAACTTCACGGACGATATTGGCCCCATGGCTTATCCTCTAAAAATGTTTGTATCGTTTTCGTTAATTTGCTCAATTTCATCAACAATTAATTATTTGGAATAGAGTCTCTTTTTTCAAGTAAAATCGGAGTGCTTTCAATTAATTTAATTAAATACCGACTTCAGGTACTTAATTAATGTTTTCACGTCAAATACTTCTTGGTAAACGTTTATAGTTGGATATATTATTATATTCTCTTGGATGTTTCCGAGAAATTGTTACTGTTTAATGAATTTTTCGTTAGTAACAGGGCACGCACTGATTTACCACAGAACAAATTATTCCGAAAATATATTTCTTTAATCACAATTATTAATTATTTTCATTTTCGTAATTAGTTATATTGAACCCTAACGCTCATGGCCAGCATTCTTCATTTTCTTTTACACTTTTCTACATTTAAAACTATTTTTTTCCACCAGGGTCTCCAAGGAGGTGGTCGAGCACATGCTTGGCTGGAACATCCCCGAAGAACACCAGGACCTGGTCCACGACCATTGGAGGAACTTCCCAGCAGTCAGCAAGTACTGGCATTACGTCCTCGCACTTATCTACACGATGCTGATGGTTACCTCACTACTTGGGAACGGCATAGTCATCTGGATATTTGGAACGTGAGTAGAGACCACTATAATATTCACATTTATTTATAAAATAAACATATCTTTGCTTCGTTGCAAATTCGACTGCCAAGCACGATTCTTGGATCGTGGTTATAGATATTTTATTAATAGCTCCAAAAGGAATTTTTAAATAGTAAAAACTGTAATATTGCTTCAAACTACACACAATAATTTAACACGACCATTATTTAAGAGCGAAATCGTCACATATTCACCCCTCTATAATTTCAAACGCACGTACAATTTGATTTCCAAACCAATATTATAGGTTTGTGACCACCGCATATTATGTAACCAAAAAAAACATTCAAAAAATACAAACAGATTTTAGGAGGGTTGTTCTTATAACAATGCACGATGTTTTTACGAATACCTAAGCACAAGTAACCAACTTTTCCATCCCATAATTTTATAGCGGCGTTTCCCAACATGTGGCCCCTTTCCCATGGTTCACTTCGCTAAACGGTCGCGGGCTCATTGAAAAGCCCAGGGCCAGATTATTCAACCGTGACCATGAATTGGCTCCGAGCTTGCCGAAAGCCTGAGAAAAAAAATCCTACTTTAAATAAGGTGGCGTAAAAGCGGTCAATATGACGTGTCATCATTTCTTTTTCGCCAAACAGAATTTCCTTGAAAGAAAATATCTTTAGGACATATTACCAACTTTATTCTCGTCTTCTTTGTTTTATGTATCAAGACAAAAATAAAAGAAATCAAATAAATTCGTTACAAAATATCAATGCTGTCATAAAGACGATTGTAGCGCTCTCTGGAAATGACAATCTTGAGTTACCTTTGTCTGATTTCGTACTGTTTTGACGATAAGAATAAAATATTCTTAGTAATGCCGGCCATCGTCATATTACTTAGGATCGGTTGGAACTTTACTTACCTATATACTTAATCAAGATAAATTTTTGTGGTTCCACTTAATGTACTATGTTTAACTACACTCCACAACAAACTTAACAACAACCTTCAATTTTTACATTAACTTTTAAAAATAACAACCCAAACTGTTCTAAAAATACACAATCCACACCTATCAACAGTAAGTAAACATATACGTGACCTCTGACAGTATTTCAATATATAGAGTGGCTACTAAAAATAGACCAGCTACATGAAGTTTCGATCAAATCTTTAGCAATTTCCCGCGAAAACTTTAGACAAGTTCGCGAACTCGTAAAGGTCAAGACTATCAAACCATTCTATAGGTACTAAAGCCGTCTCTTCTAATCTCCTTCAAAGTTTCAACTGTCCTCTAAGGTCACAACAGACAACCCTTTACCATTCGATTAAAAATGCAAAAGCGAAGCCAAAATTAATATCGTGGAACAATTTGACGATCCGTTCGTGAAACTGACGTCTTCGGCGATTTAATTAAGTTTCTGAACGCACCAAGATGGCGGGTGGGTTGGCGGGAACGTCCCAAACAAAATGGTGACAAACAAGTTGGGAAATTAAGTTTAAGTTAACGAAACGTTTAAAGTTAATTATATGCTAAGGCACGATAAACGCGTACCCGTTAATTTGGTTTGCCGCGCGTTAATTGTATGGGGATTGATTAATCACTGTTTGGGGAAATTGGTTGGTTTAATCAACACATAACGATTTCTCACTGCTTGTGTTTCCAAACTTGATGATATCTTGTTTAACCATTTAAGTGCTTCTTTAAGAAGGGCTGAATATAAAAATTGCAGATACGTATAAAAATCGACTGATTCATAGGAGAAAAAAAGTTACTTATTCATTCATAGAAGCTAGACAAAAATCTATTTACTCGTGCCCCAAAACTAATATCTATGTGCTTAGCAATACTTTTACTCGTAGTAAATAAATCAGAACCCAATCTCACACCCTTATTTCTAAGACAATAACCGCTACAATAATTTCGCGAAACCACTCTAATATTCACCCAAATAACTCTCTAATCGGCAATCTATCAAGCAAACAACAATAAAACAAAAGCTACAGCTCGTCAGAGAAACAATTGACGTCGAAGTCTCGAAGAAACAATGATGATTATTAAAGAGAAATGTGTACGATAAAATCCGTTGAGTCTTGCCATCGGCGGGTGCGATCTGCCGCGTGTCAGGAGCAAAAGTTTCTAAACCGCCCGCCACTCTCTACTTCGGAAAACGTTTCCGATGTTCGCCGACTAACGTTTTTTGCACCAAGTCTGTTATCCACTGCACGATAAGATAAAGAAATGAGTTTATTTTGTGATATTTTACTTTGTGGTGCAGTTCGATTTGCTAATAATTGCAATGTGGAGCAATGAGGGAGACGTGTTAGTGTTAGGAATATCTTTAATGAAGTGTCTAATAACTAACTTACACTACTAACTTATAGGGCGAGGTGTCACTCACACTACATAATCAAGAGCGAGAAATCTAGTACAGAATAAATTATGAGAACTTGCTGTTAATAAAAAATACTACGAAAAATATAATCTCCTTTATAGTACTATACCAGGAGCCATCATTATGACACCAACTGAGAAAACAAAAAAAATGTCTCCATTACTGACACTAGCAAGGTTTCATCAGTCAATTCGTTTCAAACGAACCCCTTCCTTCTTAAGCCAATCCCGCTGCTTCAGATTCGCGTAGCTTCCACTACAAATCCATCTTACATTTATCTTGGTCGTTTTACTGCTATCTGTGTCACTGGGCGCTGTTGCTGAGATTTTAGGCCGTTACGATGTTTTTATTATACATTTTTATGTTTTGCAAATGCTTATTCGTTAGATCTACTTACTTCGGATAAGGCTTCGAAAGACGAATCGTTTTTCTTAAGAATTTGATTGGTTCTTTTGTTGACATTTATTGTGTATTTTGATTTGAAATTGGAATGATAGAATAGATGTTTTAGGCCAGTGTAAGGTTCTATATTTGAAGATTGAATTTTAGGCGGGAGTTTCTATGTCAGCCATGTTTAAAATATCTTTTTTTTTATTTTATCTGTCAATGATAATATGTTGGAACCTCTAACTCATTGTCCGTAGCAAGTCGGAACTGTTTAAGATTCGCTAAGTCGTTGAAAGACAAACCAATTTAAGTTTGTTTATTAACAAGCTTCAGTTTATTGATTGCTACAAGTAATAACTAAGTAATCACAGAATTTGGTGTAACATAAACATATAAATTTGACTTAGTTTCGATCTTTGTCTTTGTTTTGGAGTTGCCAATCGTATTAGGTCAGTATGGTAGATTGCCCTCATAAATTATTTCTATGGGCCGTGGATGCTTTGAGTCCGTCTTGTTGAGTTAACAGTTCCAACTTGCAATCCACACTGTTCATTCAAGTAGTAGGAGTTTTCTAATTTTTATTATTATTTCTTACATAACATCATAACATCACGCCTTACGCCACTTAATGCCACTATACAATGTAACACCCACTTTCCACTATTTTATGTTTTGAGTCCCATGTAATAGGTAGTAAGCCTACTGCTATATACCGGGTATAATTCCAGACTCCCTGCTACTACTGAGAATTTTTTGAAAAATACCAATAATACTTTGCCCGACCTGGGAATCGAATCCGAGACCCCTTGCCAGGCAGTCTCACTTGCGACCACTCGGTCAACGTACCAAATAAAACACCCTTAAGTATAAAACAATTATCTATCGATTACATTGACTATATACCACGCCACACAGAGAAAAGACCCCCAAAATAGGTACCAAACCTTCCACTTGATGCATTATCTTGTCTCATTACGGCACTCATTAACAAAACTCGTCACATCCTTAAGACGGGTGTAATCAACCCGGTTACGACCCTTTTACTATTTCTCCGGTCCGTACACGGGTTTTGTCCCTTATTTTGTCTCACTTCGCTTAGCTTTTATTCGATGTGTGCCTATATTGAAAGGAATTCTCTGCAACCCTCGGTTAGGTTAGTAGCATTGAGTTTTTCGACTTCAATGTTCTTAGTAAATGTGACGATAGATTTATTTATTACTAGCGACCCGACCCGGCTTCGCACGGGTGCAATATCCATGTATTATACATATAACCCTTCCTTAAGAATCACTCTATCTATTTAAAAAAACCGCATCAAAATCCGTTGTGTAGTTTTAAAGATCTAAGCATACATAGGGACATCAGGGTCGCCATGCAATGTGGAGCAATGAGGGAGACGTGTTAGTGTTAGGAATATCTTTAATGAAGTGTCTAATAACTAACTTACACTACTAACTTATAGGGCGAGGTGTCACTCACACTACATAATCAAGAGCGAGAAATCTAGTACAGAATAAATTATGAGAACTTGCTGTTAATAAAAAATACTACGAAAAATATAATCTCCTTTATAGTACTATACCAGGAGCCATCATTATGACACCAACTGAGAAAACAAAAAAAATGTCTCCATTACTGACACTAGCAAGGTTTCATCAGTCAATTCGTTTCAAACGAACCCCTTCCTTCTTAAGCCAATCCCGCTGCTTCAGATTCGCGTAGCTTCCACTACAAATCCATCTTACATTTATCTTGGTCGTTTTACTGCTATCTGTGTCACTGGGCGCTGTTGCTGAGATTTTAGGCCGTTACGATGTTTTTATTATACATTTTTATGTTTTGCAAATGCTTATTCGTTAGATCTACTTACTTCGGATAAGGCTTCGAAAGACGAATCGTTTTTCTTAAGAATTTGATTGGTTCTTTTGTTGACATTTATTGTGTATTTTGATTTGAAATTGGAATGATAGAATAGATGTTTTAGGCCAGTGTAAGGTTCTATATTTGAAGATTGAATTTTAGGCGGGAGTTTCTATGTCAGCCATGTTTAAAATATCTTTTTTTTTATTTTATCTGTCAATGATAATATGTTGGAACCTCTAACTCATTGTCCGTAGCAAGTCGGAACTGTTTAAGATTCGCTAAGTCGTTGAAAGACAAACCAATTTAAGTTTGTTTATTAACAAGCTTCAGTTTATTGATTGCTACAAGTAATAACTAAGTAATCACAGAATTTGGTGTAACATAAACATATAAATTTGACTTAGTTTCGATCTTTGTCTTTGTTTTGGAGTTGCCAATCGTATTAGGTCAGTATGGTAGATTGCCCTCATAAATTATTTCTATGGGCCGTGGATGCTTTGAGTCCGTCTTGTTGAGTTAACAGTTCCAACTTGCAATCCACACTGTTCATTCAAGTAGTAGGAGTTTTCTAATTTTTATTATTATTTCTTACATAACATCATAACATCACGCCTTACGCCACTTAATGCCACTATACAATGTAACACCCACTTTCCACTATTTTATGTTTTGAGTCCCATGTAATAGGTAGTAAGCCTACTGCTATATACCGGGTATAATTCCAGACTCCCTGCTACTACTGAGAATTTTTTGAAAAATACCAATAATACTTTGCCCGACCTGGGAATCGAATCCGAGACCCCTTGCCAGGCAGTCTCACTTGCGACCACTCGGTCAACGTACCAAATAAAACACCCTTAAGTATAAAACAATTATCTATCGATTACATTGACTATATACCACGCCACACAGAGAAAAGACCCCCAAAATAGGTACCAAACCTTCCACTTGATGCATTATCTTGTCTCATTACGGCACTCATTAACAAAACTCGTCACATCCTTAAGACGGGTGTAATCAACCCGGTTACGACCCTTTTACTATTTCTCCGGTCCGTACACGGGTTTTGTCCCTTATTTTGTCTCACTTCGCTTAGCTTTTATTCGATGTGTGCCTATATTGAAAGGAATTCTCTGCAACCCTCGGTTAGGTTAGTAGCATTGAGTTTTTCGACTTCAATGTTCTTAGTAAATGTGACGATAGATTTATTTATTACTAGCGACCCGACCCGGCTTCGCACGGGTGCAATATCCATGTATTATACATATAACCCTTCCTTAAGAATCACTCTATCTATTTAAAAAAACCGCATCAAAATCCGTTGTGTAGTTTTAAAGATCTAAGCATACATAGGGACAGACAGACGGCGGAAAGCGACTTTGTTTTATACTATGTAGTGATACGGGTGTAGGTTAAATGATAGAATAATCTACCTAAGTAAAGCCAAGGATATAAGGGTATAAATAAGGATATAATAGTCGCGGTGGCTTGGAGGTTTAAGAGTGTGCAAGTTCGATACCTACCGACGGCAAGTACCAATGTGACTTTTTCCGAAATATATGTACTTTCTAAGATTATCTAGACACCACCGCCGAAGGCCCGGCAACCTGTTAGGCCTTCTGCGGCTCCGTATAGAGTATCCTGCACGGTTGGCGCGGTGATTGGGCAACTGGCTTCCGCGCAACGTGTCGCGGGTTCGATTCGGGCACGGAACAACTCTGTTCCAAGTCTGGGTGTCATGTGTATGTGAACTTGTATATTTGTAAAATTGAATCATTCCTAGTACCTACTACAAGGGACTCAATGTTTTTATTATTAAGAAATGAAAACTAGAATACCTATCTATCTACAGATTCTACCTATAGATAATATAGATTACTACTCTACACAATCTACGAGTATTTTCCACTTGCATACAAACCTCTTTATTTGACAGGATATTTTAAAATCGATTGTGTTCACAACAACTGCGCATAAATTCACATCTAGTCGTTATCTTATTTCACGAAATACGAACACATTTGTAAAACTTCACTCGCGTTTGTTACTTCGATTTTGTTACAAATATTGTTGTGGAAGATGAAACAAAATGTTAAAGATAATAATGCTATTTATTCGAAACTTAACTATACTGCATTTTGAACTTGATAATTTAAGATAAGATAATGTGTCGTCGTGGTGGCCCGGAGGTTAAGGGTTCGAAACCTACCAACGGCAAGTACCAATGACACTTTTTCCGAGTATATGTACTTTCTAAGTTTATCTAGACACCACTGACAAACTGTCAAGGGAAACGTCGTGAGGAAACCTGGACTTATAATTTTTAATTATTAGTTTGAAATCGCCAACCCGCGATGAGCAAGCGTGGTGATTAATGCTCAAAAGTTCTGCGTGTGACAAGAGGCTTCAACAGTGGGCATTTATCGGCTGTTGATAAATATAAGTGGGTTTAAGTGCATTTTCCGTTATTTAGTATCTTGTATTATACGATAACAAAAGCTTTATAAAAATATTTTCGTTTCTAGCACACGAAATCATTTTATTGTTTAAATGTAAAGAAAATTCCACCGACATATTCACAGAAATATACCGCTTCAAATGGAAAAGACTATGCAACGCATTTCATACGACGAAAATCCGCCTCATTGTTGAACGTCTTGGATCAGTTTGCTACAAAATTCCTAGAGTAACTTTACCATTTGGTTACTTCAGAATACCTACCTAGAATTTTTCCTACTCTTCTCTACCTTTACGGAGCCGCGGTGGACTTGACGAGTTGCCGGAGCCCCGGCTCAAAGAGCCGAAGAAGGAGGATACTGGTTTTACTCAGTAAGAGTTTGACACTCCCTCTAGCCTCACCCAGGCGGGAGAATCCATTAGATGACTTTCCCCCCTCAAAAAAATCCACTTCTCTTCCCGCGGGTATCATAAGATCCAATTAACATACATATATTATGACTACACATTTGACAGAGTCCAGGCAGCAGTCCTCTCTAACAAACCTGAACGTTTAAAGCTGTCATCTCTTCGATCCATGGCGGTATTTCCGAACCGATATGACCTTCAAAGCTTCAAGATATGAGTGTATTCTTTTTTAAAGGCTGGCAACGCACCATGGACACCCACGCTGGTGTTGCGGGTGTCCATGGGCAGCGCTGATTGCTTATCATTAGGTGATCCGTACACTCGTTTGCCTCCTAGTCCATAAAAAAATTCGCAGCCCCTCTCATGTAGAAGAAGCCTAACAGTAGATTGCGCCGAACTATTAACATATCCTCGAGTAACTTTATACAAATCGACTAATTGAAAGCGAACACGGTCGGAATCAGGGTAACAATTCAGTAAATCGGTTGCAATTAATGTAATTCACTGTGCATATGTATAGCGGGCGGCCATTATGTAGCCCGTGCGGATTGCGTATTGTCGCGGCTATGGCGGTCAAATCTATCGCCGTTAATGTGTCAATCTGTATCGTGTTACTGGTTAATTTGGTAAGAATATATTGGTTTGTAATTGTATGCTATTAATATGTTATTGTGATGGATTTTATTCCGTAATAAATTAATAAATCACAATATAATAATAATAATATATTATATAATTGATTTAATAAATCATATTCTAGAGTCACAACAACAAAAAAAAATAAAAATACACCTTGATTTTAAAAGGTTAAACGATTGCCACTTATTCCCACTAAGGGCCAATTTTTCAATGCTCAAATAATTTTAAACTGAGGAATAAGTTTCGATATTTGACAATTCTTCCATACTAAAAACTGTCGAATGTCAATTTTATTCTATAGTTAAGAATCAACTGATGATTGAATAATCGGCTCTAAGTATTTTAACTGAACATTTTATTATCTCACTATTTTCGCAGTGTAAAGTGGCAGAGGAAAACGAGACTTACTTACTGGTTTTTCCCCCATAGAAACATACATTTCCTCTATAGCTCCTATCGCTATCCTCATAGTTTTGGAACCAACAGTCTCTTAAATTGCAACTACAAAAATCTAATTAAAATCCCTTCCTTAACCATACCACTAAATAAAACTTCTCTTTTATCAGGTCAAAATCCCTACGAAGCCCAAGCAACATGTTCGTCATCAACTTAGCAGTGTTTGACCTGATGATGATGCTGGAGATGCCGTTACTCATCATGAACTCTTTCTACCAGCGACTGGTCGGCTACCAGCTCGGGTGTGACATTTACGCCGTCCTCGGTTCCTTGTCGGGTATTGGAGGAGCCATCACCAATGCTGTTATAGCATTTGACAGATACAAGTAAGTATAGTTTTATTCTTATTTTTTATATTTTTTGTCGGTTTTGGTCGCAAGTGCGACTGCCGGGCTAGTGGTCTCGGGTTCAATTCCTGGGTCGGGCAAGTATTACTGGAAATGTGCCCGGTATATGGCAATATGCTCATCTCCTATAACATGGGACTCATAACATAAAATAGTGAAAAGTGGGTGTTACACTGTATAGTGGCATTAAGTGTCATAATGTGCACCTCTGCCTACCCCTTCGGGGATAAAAGGCGTGAAGTTAAGTGAAGTTATGTTACGTAGGTAATTCTTAACTGTACAATAAAATTGACATATGAATTTTCTACTTGATATTGTGAAATATTCAAACTTATTCCTCAGTTAAAATTTATCTGGCTTTGGAACAATCGGTCCTAAGTTTTATTATCATTTTTATTCACGTGACATACCTACTTATATAGCTATCTATTATTTTCCATAAAAAACCATACATCAATTTTTCATATCAAAATAATATTTTATTGAATCACATAGCTATACAGCTGCCATCGTAATTTCGTCACAAGATGTTATTACATGTATATTGGTACAATTTCTCTTTTATTGAGAAAATATAGCTGTAACATAACAGAAAGGGTTTGATTTCTGCACTGAGACGAACTTCTATATATTATCAAAGGTTTTGAGATTGTCTAGACGTTTTATTATGATTTGAGCAATAGAGAAAATATTTCCAATGATAGGTTCCTAACATTACGCCTGTGTCCACTTCTGGATGTAACCTTTCGATCTGTACACTACTGAGCTCAAACATGAAGGGAATATTTCATTCAATAATTAATTGGGATGATGACGGGGCATGAAAATTAAAAATCTAATTAGTCCGTAAGTTAGGTAATTAAAAAATATTAAACACGTATTTTTTATTTTGTCGTATAATAAAACAATACTTAGATAAAAGTAATCAAAGTTTAGGAGTACAAGCTACAACGTTATTTCTACGTATAAAATGTAAGTACATAGAAGTGACGTCACGCGACATTTCAAATCAATATATCGTCGAAAGTATTCGTTTCTGTAAGAAAATAAAAATACGTGTCTAATGATTTAAAATAATCTGCCAGACGGACATTCAAATAAAAATTAGGCATTACCCTATTAAAGAATTCCACTGTAGATACAAGACCTACCTACATCTTTAGACTTCAATATCCATTTTTCGATCTTATAATAGGTTCATCCTTAAATAAAAACTAACAAAATATTTATAACTTACTTAATAATTGATTTATTATTTTAAATTCCACTAGGACTATCTCCTGCCCCCTTGATGGACGGATAAACAAAGTGCAGGCGGCCATATTGATTGCCTTCACTTGGTTCTGGGCGATGCCCTTCACCGTCCTGCCAGCTCTCAAGATCTGGGGACGATTTGTACCCGGTAAGTGAATATAAGTAATCTATTAATGGTTTATTACCTAAGTAAATGTTCGCTGAGGCAAAAAATGGCAGTTAAACTTATACCGACAGCTATAAACAAATTCTTTAATTAAATACTATACAATACTATACAGGATTGCCTACAGGTATACATTGAGATTGATATCACTCAAAAACGTATCCAAGTAACAGCTTAAAACAATGATAATTAAAAACAAACTCTCCCCAATCCAAACGAACCATCACAAAAACGCACTACAATCCCATAAACAAACGTAATCATAATAATTTATCCGTAATGAATATCACTTAAATATCCATTCAATTAAAAAGAAATATCGCCATCGGAAGCCGTTCATTAAGGAAGTCACGAATAAATTAGACAACAATAAATAATGGAAGTCTCTGATATTAAAACGTTCATTAAAACCGTCCAGTTTTATTAGACCCCTCGATTTACTGTACCTGGAATAGTAAAACAAGCGTTCACCCTCTGCCAGACACCTTTGAGGGATAATTTAGTATGTTTAACTAGATCCCAACCCCTATTCACCTTCTTGAGGGGATGAATTCAACCCTTTTGTTTGTCAATTATTTCGTGTGTAAACTTTCATGCCTCGAAACCCAATAGCCTCCAATATATGTCTTAAAACGTGTGTCTGTCTAAAACTGAAAAGTTCTGTGCTCTGCCCGGGTGAAAAAAAAATCGTGCACTACATTTACAACGTAAAACAAAAGGTTAATCTTCAGTACATGTTAATAAAATAACCCAATAACCGCGAATAATCTTCCAATCGCATTTTCTATAAATCTGCAAACACCCATAGCTTGCATCTGCCACAACCAATTTCAAAATCCAAAGCGTTCTAAATCCAATTACACACTGTTGTATTCGGAACATGCATTTCGCACCAATGCTACACATAATTCCGAGTTAGCCGGCTGATTAAGTGCACCAATTGTACGACAAATTGCACGCATCCGTCGAAACAGGAGATTACAGTTATTGTCTTCGTGCAAACGAGCTATCGTAATCCGATGAGTAATCGACTTTAAATTTTATTAGGATCGAATATAGCGTCACCCTTTGTCATAAACAGACACATTAAGATTGAGAATTGAAGAAACTGACACATGTGGTTTTTTAATAGCTATTTTGTGATGTGTTAAAATAAATAAACAGAGATTTATGGCCGTTGGTTACAGTGATGATGATAAATCGTTCATAATTTGAACCGAACGATTTTATTTTCGAATTGAAGTGAAGTTAATAATGTTTTTTTTTTTTGTTGCTTCTTTATTTAAATCTCGCACCATACAACGCATCTCTAACGATTTTGCTGGTCATTACCCAAAGAGTTTGTAGCACAAATTTTGAACAAGATAAGGCAGAACATTGGGAAAACAGGGGAGATTATCATGTTCAGCATGTAAATCTACCGTTTCATTGCAGAGGGCTTCCTCACTACGTGTTCCTTCGACTACTTCACTGATGACCAGGATACGAAGGTGTTCGTCGGCTGCATCTTCGTGTGGAGCTACGCGATACCAATGGCGCTCATCTGCTACTTCTACTCACAGCTGTTTGGTGCTGTAAGTTACAAATGCACATGAATTTTTTAGGACCATCATTCATCATCGACGTCAGCCCTTTACGGTTAGATATAGCACAAGCATTTCGAATCTTTATTTCTTTCTTCATATTTCCATCTTTCGGAATATAGTTTTGAATTTTTCAGGATCGTTCGACATTTATCCCTACGATTTGACGAAGACCAAATTTTCTCACGCAATAAATCTAATTTTCATAGAAGATAACACGAAAACATTAAACAACATCCACGTGAAACTTTCTCAATAATAACTAACAGATGATATTAACTGACTTACGAACTTTTATTGCGTAGATAAGTATTATACAAACAACAGAACAGAATAAACATAAATTCGTTGCAAAGAGAAACAGGTGGCTGTGAAGTTTAACCGTATATTAACCTTATTAAGTTTAATAACTCCCCTTGTGTTTTATCTAGGTAAAAGCAGACTAATTTTAGGCCACTTGTGTCCCGTTTTCAAGGCTAAAACTAGACTAATTAGCCGAGTTTTAGTTGCAAGACTTAACAGGCCTTGCTCGAGTGTGTTAGCAGTATGTACGGAGTAGATTATGATCTCATGAGCTGACTTAAGTAGGTAAGTATTAAAGCTCGTTGGTTTTTGATTAAAGGGTCTTTTGTTCCTGCCACCGAGTCGATGGTCTTTTGCACGTGTTGAAGACAGTTTTTTACGTTTTAAAGATTAAAAATCTAAGTAAAATCTCGAAGTCTGCCTCCTACTTCTGCATAAAGTCAAAGTGCAAGTTTCTGAACGAACCGAACTTACGAAAAATAAATTATAAAATAATATTAGATTTATTAAATCCGAAATATAAATCTGTCCACAACTTTCTTAGTAACCTTAAAGTAAAATCACATCAATTAAACAAACAAATAAAACAAAATCCATCTGAATAACACTCGAAAGAAACAAAATAATCTTGACAGATTATTCTCAAAGTTATACGTCACATTTGGAAAAGATGGCGTCTCATTTTCTTTCAAAACATTTATATTTATCTTGTAATAAAATATAAATCAAAAAGGATTTGTGAATTTGACATAAAGTAATCCTAGTGACAGTACTAGATCATTAACGATAAAATGTTTTTTCTCAAGTACTTTTGAAGGATTTCTGCCATTTTGTGACTGTATTTTTTCATATGGCAACACCCACTTAGCCGTTTATAGGCACTACGCCTTTGCGTCTAGAATAGTTTCTTTATATTCGAAATACAGATGTGACTGTTAGGTACTATGACTGTTACATTTTTGTTCTCATTTTATATAAAGATAGATAAAAGGGTGTCTGCTCTACATTTAAGTAATTCGAACTTCCTAGAAGTCCAGAACAGTACCCGTCACGTGAAGGCTCACTCTCAATTTCTGGGACTCCCAACATTTTTTGTGAAATGTAGGAGTTAATTAAAAGTAACTATTATAGTTAAAGTACCACATTTTTAATGAAAACTTAAAAGACCACATAACATAACACGCGTTTTATCCTCGAAGGGGTAGGCAGCAGTGCACATTATGCCACTGTACAATGTAACACCCACTTTTTCACAATTTATGTTATAAGTCCCATGTAATGGGGTGAGCCTATTGCCATATACCGGGCACAATTTCAGCCTCCGTGCTACTACTGAGATTTTTTTAAAACCCGGTAATACTTTGCCCGAATCGAACCCGAGACCCCTTATCCGGCAGTCGCACTTGCGACCACTCGGCCAACGAGTCAGATTTAAAAAAAATGTTAAAAAAGATAAAAGGCCACATTTTTTTAAATGTTGCCCTATAGTTATCACGATAATAGAAACTATCAACAAACAATCCAATATGAAAACGAATAACACAAAACACGTTACAATATTTTCCCAACAACCTAGAAAGGTAATTTTAGCCCACAAAAGGCGAAAGATCTGCCTTCCTATTTGATTGCCCGCCCTTAATACCCGTAGTGATTATTACAGTGATATATTTCGATTCAATTAACCTATTTATATTAAGGGATCATGCCGCCATTTTGTTACTGAATCGTGTTAGCCAATCAGCGCAAAGCTTTGATTAAAGGAAAACAATATTAGTTTCTTGTCATTGTTTTGTCATTTGTTAGGATTGGTGTACATTTGGAGAGGCTAAACAATTAGATAGTTTTAATTACCTATTTATCATGGTTTTGGATGATTCTACAAAAAAAGATTCGCAAAAAATTAACGGCGTCACTATCCTAAACCCAAAGTTAACAATTCTGCTGATTGAAACACAAAATTTGGTTTCATGAAAATGAGCTGTGCTACTGCTCTCGACCAATCCAGTAAAAATACAGATGCTAACAAGTTACCGCGATGCTTAACAACGCGGGAAGATTGTAAAATAATAAAAATAAATTTATTTCGGAGAAACACCCCTTTTAACACACTGTTTCACAGTTTTAATTACATAATGTAATTGTAACATAACATAACATACATAACATAACATCACGCCTTTTATCGCCTTTTATTGCAGAGGTGCACACAGATGTAACACCCACTTTTCACTATTTATGTTATGAGTCCCATATAATAGGGGGTGAGCCTATTGCCATATACCGGGCACAATTCCAGACTCCGTGCTACTACTGAGAATTTTTTTTAAAACCCAGTAATACTTTGCCCGACCCGGGAATCGAACCCGAGACCCCTTGCCCGGCAGTCGCACTTGCAACCACTCGGCCAACGAAGCAGTCAAAGCAGAGGCAGTAATGTAATTGTTTGCGTAAAATATAGTCTATTTAATTATCAATGCTTTCACTACAACACTAGGTAAATAAAAAAAATCCAGCTATTTATTATTTGTGCACAACTTTGTATAAATAAGCGGTCGTGTTTAGTGTTTTCGTCGATCTCAGCTCTCCAACAATCTCTATACAAAAATCAGGTCAATCCGTCGCTCTGTTTGTCATGAAAAAAGGACAAACATACACGCACACATTTCCGTACTTACCCTGTATTGCACTAAAAGGATTGGCCTGTTTCCCTCCCCTATAATAAGTGCCTATTAGGTACATACACAAAGTGTAATGAAGTCTTGTAGTTTAAGGGAATATTAAGAATTAGACGCATTTTTTATATAAAACTAGATGAGCCAAACTTCGTACCGCCTAAAAATTTTTTTTCTCACGTTTTAGCATTCAAGACGAACGAACATTTCAAGACCAAATTTATTTTTTCTATAGCATATTTTTACTGTTTACCGGCGAACGAGCAGACGAATCTCCTCATGGTAAGCAATCGGCGTCGCCCATGGACGCCTGTAACACCAAAGGCGTTACAAGTGCGTTACCGGCCTTTTGGGGATTAGGACTAGGAGTTTGACGATCGTTGGGGATTCAGGGATTGGGAAGATTGGGGTAGGGGAGGGTAATTAGGTCTCCGGTAACCTCAATCACACGACGAAACATTTAGCAAGCGTTGCTTCACGTCGGTTTTCGGTGAGGCCGTGGTATCACTCCGGTCAATTTAGTCGGCCAATCAAATTCATTGACGAAATTAACCAAATCGGTTGAGCCATTCTCGAGTTTTAGCGTGACTAACGCACGGAAATTCATTTTTATTTATAAAGATTTAAAAAATATATGCAAACAGCAACATTATAAGACAGTGAGAAACAGGCCGTTACAGGCTTTTACTAAAGAAAACAAAAAAATACGTAAATTCAGTAATAACTAAATACCCGTATCGAAAATTATCAGCTATTTCAAAAATATGTAACTCATGCAAGACTGCTCTCATCACTTCGGAATCGGCTTACAATGTACCCAAGTGTGATAAGATTTACCTCGTGAGGTAATCTCAGCCAAACACAGCAATGAATAGAAGAAATCCGATTAGGTACATATTTTTTTCTATTTCAACTACTTAAGATGTTTTATTTCTCATCCGAAGAAACACACTCGTGAAGCTGGGATAACAACTTAGATAATATATGTACTTTTTCCAATATTTTTTTTTATAATACTTAACTATCGTGAGACATACTAAATTAACTAACTAATCGCGGGTTACTCACGTGAAAAACTTGAGAAAAGCGCTAAGTACTGTACTTTTTCCCATTTTACTTTTAACTTGATAATGGCCCATTCGTCATACATACATAGGTCAATAATCTTGAATTTGTTTTCTATTTACATATTTAAATATTAACTAATTTAAATATTGAACTGTTGACTTACTTTGACATAATATCTTGTGTCCCCTAGATGGGGCAGAGGGCGTCGTCCACTGAAGTTCTCCATCGCGATCTGTCTTGAGCTTCACGCTTCCTCACTCCACGTCATACCGATGCTCGTCGCTTCTGATTTCAATTGAACTGTTGGGAACAAACTAATGAAAATTTTCGTTCGTATCAACTATCGGTTCGATAACGGTACGATTTCTGAATTCACTGGGTCAGCTCATAGTTCCAAAATGTGCTCTTTAAATCCCAAGAAATGCTATTCATGGTCTATCTATCTTGTCTTTGGTACCCAAGCAGAATCGTAAAAGTCACCCATAAAAGCTATGCTTAAATTCAGTACTATAATAATGTGACTTCAAAGCGATCTGGACACATTAGGTAGCCACACATGTCCAAAGCTACCCTTTATACTTCAACTTAAATATTAGTTGTCAAACCTATCTACAATGTTCAAAATCAAACCTTCAAACTTTGACAAAAAGCCGAAACTCGTTTGACATCAAAACGGTAAAACTCCCCTTCAAAAACCCTAAACAAATAATAACCTTTTTCGTCGGCCCAAAAACCTAACAATAAATTTTTCTTCAATAAAGCTTGAACACAATAACAGAAAATAACATTCATTTGCGCGTAGCCTCGACACGGCACTCGTAAACTACGTTCAGACAAAAAATGTCGAATCACTAAAGTTCCGACGTAGAACGAAAATTGTTTGTTAAGTTCGTCACCTCGAATTGTTTCGGATAAACTCTCGGTCTCGCCGAACTCCGAAGTTTCCCATCACTACAAACTGAGAACAGTCGAAATTAAATTTGAATCGGAGTTCCATCGTGGTTCGAAAACAAACTGATTAAGTGACACACGTATTGCACAAGTCATGTATAGAACTTACACGACAAAGTCTCATAACATTTGTTTTAACTCGTACAACAAATATTTCTCATAGCCTTAATGGAGGTATTTAAATTAACATGCATTGATTAAATAGTTGATTAAAGTTTTATCTGAAATATAAAGACGCATTTTGCGTCTTCCGATAAATAAATGGCATTTATTAAAGCGCACAACTTTACTATGCCGTAATAATATGCAATTAAATACTAAGTATAAGCTTAGTATACCTTAACATACAATATCGTTCTTAATAATTACTAAATATCTACTTAACCACAGTTTCAGGAAAAATAAAAGAAAATACTTAAGTGACTTATATAAAACTTCGTATCATCATTTTGCAACAGCAGCGCCCTCTGACACGTCATAATTACGTCAATGGAGGTTGAACAAAAACGTTTCATTCATGTTTTTTTTTTAATTCACGACCCGTCGACGCTCGAAAAACGCGATTTAACAAGACTGATAATTAAAAGTCTGATTGTTCAGTTTTTTCTCGTTTTCCCTTCAAGGAAAATTGGACAGAAACGCTTTCGTTCGACCAAAATTGAAAATTGGGGTATTGCAAAACCGTTCTTTATTTGCTTCGTTTTAATAAATTGTGTGTTTTGGTTAATAACTCGGTGTTGTTTGCTTAAAAAAGTATGTAAATGAAAACCGTAGTAAATTTTAAGAAACCTAATGATTTTGATACAAATCGAATCTGTTATAGATTTGTATCAGGTACCCTATGTATGGTCTTTTTCATCAGACCTTTGAATGACAATCCCATCCAACACAATACAGCTCTAAAATTCAGAACCATGTCCAATTCCGTTCGAATAGAACGAAAACGAAAAGTTATACAAATAAATGAGAATTATCTCAGAGCTATTCGATTCAAGAATTCTTCGAGTAACAATTTAAACGGAAAATTCAAAAGTTTTTCCTTAGGATACAAGGAAGAAGCATTAAGAATTATTTTTGTTTGAACGAATGCACGAATTCCCGAACCCTCAATCCGGGGTAGCGTTGTACCTTTTGAGCGTATTTCATTCGACTTTATTCGAGTTTTGCAACTAAGATAATATTGGATTGAACAGATATATATACCAGGGTCCTATGGGAGCTAATAAATAAGAATGTGAAAGTCAATAATCTACTTTCGGTAGAGATATTAACTAACTATATAAAGCCTATAGGATTTCTGGTCATAACAAACCTACAAATACAATAATCAGTTTATTTAAAAAAGGCCAGTACAATACCTACGTAAAAAATGGCACTTCTCTCAATAACACAATCTCTATTTCAATTTATTACAAGATCTATGTACCACACAATAAATTTCACTTTTCAACACAAAATAGATTCCTTTAGAACACAAAATAGATTTCCAAGAATCGATACTCAGTGCATTAATCAAATTGAATTTTGAATAAAACGATCGACGAGGGCACCGATTGTTCACTCGAATAGAAATCCGAACGACAGCGATTCGATTGTTGAAACATTTCGGAATCCCGCAACGCTAATCTCGGGCGGAATGGCCGAGGAATGTTATAAAAGTAGCAGTTTGTAGATTGTATTGGTTAACGCTTAGTGGTACTTATGTACTGTGTTTATGTATCGTTCATCGTCGAATATAACTTGGTAACTTGTATAGCGATTCTGCTCTCCTGGTATTTATTTTTGTCTTTTGCTTGGATCGATGCCATTTTTTTTTTTGGGTCTTATAGTTTCAATAAGATAACCTAAGAAGACGTTGCTTAAGCATTAATATTTGTTTAGTTTTTAAAGAAAAATCATGTTTCGACAAATCGTGTACCAACATCTTTATTATAAGATTCAACCTTAGAACGGCACTGTTTTCAGCAGCAAAAAGAAATATTCAATATCAATCAAGTTAAATAAAAAAAAGTCATATGAAAAGGCCTGGAGGAACACCCATAACTGTACATTCTTGATCTTCTTTTTCTCTCCCAGGTTCGCCTTCACGAGCGCATGTTATCAGAGCAAGCCAAGAAGATGAACGTCAAGTCGTTGGCCGCGAACAAGGAGGACGCGAGCCGGAGCGTTGAGATCAGAATCGCTAAAGTAGCCTTCACTATATTCTTCCTGTTCGTCTGTGCGTGGACTCCTTATGCCTTCGTCACTATGACTGGTGCTTTTGGTGATAGGTGAGTGTTCTTTGTTTGACTAGAAGGAGTTAAAGATAAGGTGGTGGCTGGGGACAAATTGACAAACTTGAATAAATAGTTAGTGAGAGACAGGTAGATAATTATTGTTAGCTGTCTCTCACTGTATTACAGGTAGCATAGTTCTCAGTACCTAAATTACTGTTGATCTACGTATAACATCAAAAATTCTTATTTTATAGACACAAATGTATATATATCTGCTATACATTGTATAAACCGATTAAAATACTTCATGAACCACAAAGGCGTTAATCGACAAGTCTTCTAAGAAGTAAATATTTTAATCCAAGACGCCTAACAGTATTATGTGGCTTCATCGACAAAATGATTCGCAGGTATTATTGTACAATTTAATGTGGATTAACGTTTTAGCTGAGTAAGTTTAAGAAAGTACGTATTTGAATGATTTCAACATTTGAGCCTTAACATTGGTTAAGAAAGCAAACCTTAAAAAACCTAATAAAAAAATATAAGCTCAGACAATGAACAGATCTTTAACACCTCTGCGATACCATAAAGCAATAAGTCAGTACTTACAACTGAAAGAAATATTAAACATGAGGTTTACAAGCACAAGACGTTTATGATATCGTCAGAAATAAAATGGAATAACACAGGCTGACACTTCCACTTCAGTTATAAGAAAAAGTATGTAGGTGTTGACAAGTCGCGTGGGAGTCCCACCCTTGTTCGTGTATTATTTGATAGGTGGATGAAGGAATGACGCTAAAGGGCAAATTTCACTTGTTTATGACTATAAATCCATAAAAGCACTCAAGTAGCTTCTGAGTTACAAGTTTTCGCGTGGGCTTCTAAAGGCAAGATGTTGGAAATTCAATCAGAAGTCAGGAGATCCGAGAAGAATTAAAATAGTAACGATCGAAGTTTCTAACCATAACAAGCGATCACATTTCAAACGGATTCAAATGGACAAATTGTTTATTTTACTGAGAAAATTTGCTCACTACAAGTAACAATGCGAAGAACCAAAAAAAACACAAAACACTAATACAACCTACAACACTAAGTCTATAACAAATATTTCAAAAACCTTCGTAACATTGTAAATATCTTTCCCTTTTTTAGGAGCCTCTTGACTCCCATAGCGACGATGGTGCCAGCTGTCTGCTGCAAGGTGGTGTCCTGCATAGACCCATGGGTGTATGCCATTAATCATCCCAGATACAGGTCAGTAATAACAGCCATTAACTTCATGACTGCCACTCTATGAGATACTGTAGAAAATACGTTGTCGCTAACTTATATTTACGCACCAAACGAAGCTAAACTTTTGGTCCTACAAATTTGGCCTCTTTTTATCTAGTTAGTCATTCGCATATGTGCAGTTAAGCATATGCTCAACATCACAAAGATATGTGTAAGATGAATTGTCTTCATCTAAGTAATGTGCTTCAGAGTAAACAAGAAAAAAAAACAATAATCCATGTAATTTTCCTCTTCTTATTAAACGAATGGCATCCGATTTCCTTCTTCTATTGAACGTTTAACGAAAGTCAAAGTTCATTTCAGTTTTATTAAATTAACTAACTGTAGTTATTTTATCGTTTTAAAATACACAATTTCGGAGCCAACCTTTACAAATAAACCGTAACTTTTAGTCTTAGAAACAACTTAGGACTACTTGGTACTTCAGAAATGCTAAATGCCAAACACCAAAAAGTCCACAAAACAATTTTTCGTCAACTAAGAAAATTTTCTCCTCACAGGGCGGAGCTCCAGAAGCGTCTCCCCTGGATGGGAGTCCGTGAACAGGACCCTGACAGTGTCTCCACCACGACCAGCGTCGCCACTGCGCAGTCTACCGCCCAACCTACTGCTGAAGCTTAGATCCCCCACAGAAACTTCCAGAAATACTGGTACAAAGAGACTTTTTTGCAACACCATCATAACAGTCAAATATTTAGGAATTATTTTGATTTTTCAGTTTTTTCTTAATTTTCTGATGATTTATATAGTCTGTGGTTGAATTTCAAAAGTGGCTAACATAACTGTCACTCATGATGTAAATTGTCATGCAAGCGTGTGAAAGCTATTTCTAAAATGTCATATTGAAATCAGTTCTTATTCTATTTGACGTAAACATATTCCTACCCACGTAAACGTACCCTTAAAATTAGATTATTTTCTAAATATAGTACCAATATTTTCTCCCGTCATTTCTTATGAGTAACCAGGAAAGGTTTTGGCGGGAAACCCTTTCAAATAATAAGTTCCTCGTCTATTGACAATGTAACAACAGAAACCTGTCAACTGAGTGTAAATAATTACAAATATTTTTCGTCTATATTTTTCTGTCATTTTAACACATTTTTTTGACAAATTTTACTGTTATGTCATTTTTTTATTTGGTAAACTCATAATATTATTCTGTAATCAATATCTCATTGTACCAGTATTAAGGATTAAAAAACGACACAAGCAAGTCTATGGTTCAACGAGTATACAAACCATATTTTTTTACGAAGCAAATATAAAAAAAATATATATTAAAAAAATACGGACTGATCCCGACGACCTCGCTGATTTTATGAACAAATAAAAATATTATACTGCAACAGTTGAGTTCGTTTTATTTAGTATTAAGTTTTAAACCCCTACTTTTCTGCATAATTTTTAATAAGGTATTTATAGAAAATTCTACAAAAGTTTACGTGTAATTATTTATTTTTCTTCTTTAGCAACCGAGTCTCCAAAACGGTGTTGTCGACTATACAGCCAGTGTTGAAGTATGATATCATTTCGTTAAAATATTAATCTGTAAAAATGAAGTAAAAAAAAAGATCTACAGACTGACGAACACAGTTCTTTGTTAGAAAATTTTAGACAATTAATAAATCTAATAATAAACAATGTTTTTAAACAATACCTACCTAAAATAAGACCTCAGATAGACAAGCCCGCTCACAGACATCATAAGACGGCCTTATCAAAACCTCAAAGAAGCCTAGACTTTATTTACACAAACCTCATTAATTTTAACAATAACAAACAAAAAAGAATTTATGCAAACCAAACCACAAAAAGTTCATAACCAGGGCAAAAGAAAAGAAACAAAAACAAAGTAATGAGACGCGCAAAGCAGCTTATACCTACTCGTGGAGTCGCCCTTTTATCGGGCACCGAGAACGTTGCTAATGAACCGTGACGTCCAAGATAGACTATTTTACGACTGCAGACCTTCTCTTGTAATTTAAATATCATAGCTCCTTTAGCTGGAGGACTTATTTAATATTTAGGTCACCTCTCGGTTAGTCGGGATAAGTGAAAATATAAGAATAACAGTGACTCTAGAATGATTAGGTCTGGTAAAATAAGCTGAACATTTCAACTATAGAACCTAGATTAGTTTTGCAATAATTACTCTTTCCTCTCTTCCTAAGATGACCTGAGGTCTTAGTACGAGTTTGTTTTAAGCTTAAAGTATTCGAAACGAGTACGCGTTCGGCACTCTGATTGGCCGGCGCCAATAAACCAACCAATCAGTGCGCCGAATGCGTACTCGTTACGATAACTTTAAACGTAATACAAACTCGTACTAAGGCCTCTGCACAACAATATTTAACGGTTTATCGAAATTTATTGTTACGCTTGTTATTTTCTTCTGGAAATGAGAATGTTTGTCTTATTGTGGAAACCCATTGTCTTATATCTAATAACGTTTTGCATGGAAAAAGAATTCTTACGAACATCCTACTAATATTATAAATGAGAAAATTTGTATGTTTGTTTGTCTGTTACTCCTTCACACCAAAACCGCTAAAGGGATCGGTATGAAATTTGGTACAGTGGTAGATTATAGTCTGGAATAACACAGGCAACTTCGTTTTGATCGTACAGGAACGTGGGCAAAGCCATTGGCTGAAGCTATTTTAAGAATACATAAATAAGACTTCTATTTCCTAAAATTATCCACACCTCTATCTCACGAATGGCTCGGAGTCGCGGCAGGCGGGAGCAGTCATTCGATGATTTTCCCCCCTTAACTCGTCGAGTACCGGTTTTGTAGACACAATTATAGAACAATAGGTTGCGGTCACCGGTGACCGCTTGGTGTTTGACAGTTTAAAAAAAAAAAAATCTCCTAAAACCAGAGCCTCTCTAATTATGTGAGTAGATTGTAACATAAACACAAATTTTCCACAAGTCACTTGACATTCAGCGACGCATAAATATCAATATCAAGGGCAAGAATAAAACTCGATTCCTTCGAAACTTTCGTGGAAGTACAATAACAATAAATCCAAACTGACAAACATTTTGATATTCAATTCAATAAAGCGGTAGAAAGGTAAAAGCAATCAATTAACACGGCCAATACCGAGTTACGATTCGTCACTCGCGGCTCCAAACACGTCTGTTCGAAATACTCGCACTTCGTTAACGATTAATTAAATTTCGACTCGATTTCAGCGATTAATCGTCGGTTAGAAACGACCGGTGCGCCGTGTAACGTGTCAGATTATTGCCCAATCACTGTTCGACGTTTGGATTCACCCAACTTTTGATTTATGCTGGCTGTCCGAATAATTTATCTATGACAATCATACTGAAGTGATCACTGGATCAGATGCAAAAATAAACTAATTATTGATTTAACTGAGTCTTTTTGATTATTTACATATTTTTTTGATTTCCGATATTAAAAGTATGCGTAGGTACAATGGGTTGGTACCTATTAGGTACTTATCTACATTTTATTCTTTCAGATGGTTCGCAGACTATTTATTTGTTAACTGTTAAATAATCTCTTAAAATAAATTTTCAAATGACCAAGAAGATATGAATAATTATTTTATTTCATTTTTGAATAAAAAATTCCAATAATTTTTGAGACGGGTGGAGTATTTAAGAAAAGAAAAAAGGAATTCATGGCATTTTAGCTAAATTGTAATTACGGGGGCGACGCGGCGGGGTGGAAGGGTTGCTAGACACCACTGTTTTAGGGGACATTCGATTTTTCAAAGCGCTTTATAATGTTTTGCATGGAATATGTACCTTAACTTAATTGACTTAGAGTTGATATTACAAATCAGGTCCTAATCATGAGTGATATTTGACTTCATATTTCTTGAAGGGTTTAATTTTAAGTGATAGCTGTACCTACTTGCTTTGAAAGTCGCTGCCTTGTTGTTGCTGGTTGAGTGGTCGTTACCTAATGATTATAGCAGACTGCCGAAATCAAAAATTAAAAATGATGAAAGGGTCTGAAACTATCTACTCAAAGGCAGCAAACAATTCGTTCTCGAAATGATTAAAAAAAATATGGTGGCGATACTAACAAATTCGGTAAGTATTTAGTACATAAACCGACAGATTATCTGCATCTCCTTATTATTTCCAATGTTAACTGCGTTCGAAATGCCCCCCAAGCGGGACTAGGGAACTACCTATATTTATTGACTGCACGGTTGATGCGGTGGCTGGGCAACTAGCTGCCACGCAACGTGTCGCGGGTTCGATTGCCGCAAGGAACAACTCTTTGTGTGATCCACAAATTGTTGTTCCGGGTCTGGGTGTCATGTGTATGTGAACTTGTATGTTTGTAAACGCACCTACGACACAGGAGACAATCCTAGTATATTAACGAAAAAAAAACAAAAAACTCTTTATTAAACTTTTAAGGAGGAAGATCTCTTTTATTTTCGTTAACAATCATTTGACCTTTGTTCAGAAGTGGACTTGTAGATACCTGGGTAAAGGGGATTTTCCTACCAACAGTCAACTGGAGAATCCAATCAAATTACTACTCCACTATTTCTATCTATCGCCGAATATGATGAACAACAAAAACTTGTCATGTTGTAATCTCTTTGTGGGACTTTGAAACTCATTACAGGCCGCGTCTCCGCGGTCGCGGTCGCTACGCAAATACACGCTACGAACAACAAGCCGCTGTGTTTGAACGACGACCATATGAATATATGAATGCCTGAAATACATCTCAAGTATCAGGGTTGGTGAGACGGATTCTTGTTCTAGCACAGTCTTTTGTATCTGTGATTTAGTGACTTCTGAAGTGCTGACAATTGTTAGGTATAGGTTTAAGTGTGGGAGAGCAATGCTTCGGCCTGAATGGGCTGGCTCGACGGAGTGATACCACGGTCTCACAGCAAAACCGACGTGAAACAACGCTCGCGTCGTATGAGTGATGTTACCGGACGCCCAATTGCCCCCTTCTCCCCAATCCCAGAATCCCTAACAATCCTCAAATTCCTAATCTTAAAAGGCCGGTACCTAACGTGATCCGATGATGATACCATCAGGATAACGGATCACTGTTTGCTCGTTTACCGGCTTAACCCGTAAAAAAACGTGGTGGCGCGACGTAGTGGTGAGTAGCATAGATCTATACCTAGCTACGTTGGTCACCATCCCTTTCTTTAGGCAACAAAGGCAGCAGCACAATTTATAAGCATCTTAACCTTTCGCGGTTTAACCTTTCGTGAGTCTAACGCAGACTCACGCGAGACGCTATATTTTCTATTGTCTTATATCAGTGCATTTCATATAGGTTCGCTTGTCTTATCCCAATTTCTTAACTTCAAAAATTGATCAGGACCAGCAATTTGAGCTTAGGTATCTGTTGTTATGAAAGAGTAGAAATTACAAAGTATATATAGATAGTTAGATGACTGCCTCGTTGGCCGAGTGGTCGCCAGTGCGATTGCCGGGCAAGGGGTCTAGGGTTCGATTCCCAGGACGGGTAAAGTATTACTGGGTTTTTAAAATCCCAGTAGTAGCACGGAGTCTGGAAATGTGCCCGGTATATGGCAATAGGCTCACCCCCTTTTACATGGGACTCATAACATAAATAGTGAAAAGTTGGTGTTACATTGTACAGTGGCATTACGTGCCGTAATGTGCACCTCTGCCTATCCCTTAAGGGATCAAAAGGCGTGATGTTATGATGTTATGTTAGGTGCATAACGTGATACCTACTCTAGTATGCCATTTTTGGTGTAATACTTTACATGTTAACCTAGGCTAGTATTCTGTGCCAAGGCATAGATGCCGCTGAATGGTCGCTTTCAACTAACGGATTTGAAAGTCATAGCAAGACGATGCTAGCTAAGCTATACATGTGGCTGACGTGAGTCTACAAGAAGTCGCGATCCTACTTCACCAAACTAAATAATATCCGCCTTAACATAAATCCGCGACAGCCCTACAAGGCATACATCAAGTTGTGATACTCCGCTATTTATACTTTGCAGCGGTTTTATTTATGGCAGTTACTTGCTTCACGACTCTTTTTAAACAACCTACTTACATATTACTCTTCAAATTAATTTCATTACACTACATATTTTTGTCTTAGAATATACTTAAAAGATCCGAACGATCAAAGGTCGTCGACATCCCCCCGCGAATTAGTAAGTTGAAGTGGCAGTGGGTAGCGCGGAGAACCGACGGCCGCTGGGGCAGAAAGGTTCTCGAGTGGACGCCACGTACCGGCAAGCGCAGCGTAGGACGTCCATCCGCAAGGTGGACAGACGACCTGATTAAGGTAACTATCAGAAGGTAAAATATTTATCTACAGTTTTCAGAAGTAGGTAT